GTTAATTCAGTTAATTCCAGTTCTTCATTGTGAAATCATCCAGAGAAGCAATTTCATGTTCTCAGCTTCATTTTTCAGGTTTAAATATGGACAGCTTTTCATCATTAAAAAAAAAATTTTTTTGATATTTTTAAATTGCAGCTAAAGAAGCCCATAATGTGCTCTGAGAACAGCTTTATTATGCTAGTTGCTTTTTGGTTTTCTTTCTTCTTTTTTAATTTTTTTTTTTTAATCCAACCTTCTGAATCCATTATAGCCCTGCTGTCTACCAGGAAACCATATTTCAAGTGCAAACATGAAAATTTCTCTAATCTATATGGTCTCTTAAAGGTCTAGGAGGAGAAGGAAAGAGACTATCATGAGCAGAGCAGCACTAAGCCAGGTTCTGTTTCTCTGTAAGAACAAGCAGGTTCTAGGAAAAGGATCAGCAAAGTCTTGTTTGTTGCCTTTTAAATTTTCTTGATGTCTAAGATCAGTGCATGAAAATTTCACAATAGGCTCTTAAATAAAGAAAAAAAAAATGCTTATTTTTAGATACCTAAACATGAGGACCCTTTGTTACAAGTTAAAATCCCCTCATCATTATGCATTTAAAGCCTTGGGGGTGGAGGGTGGGGGAAATAGTACTGTTACAGAAATAAACCCATATAATCACAAAACCTTTTATCATCTTTAAGCTTCTATGTAGAAAAGCATACCTATATGTGTGTTTAAGTCCCATTAAGCACTGTTCTAAATTGAACTTGTACATAATTCCTATTAGTGCATTTTGTTAATGGTAGTAAGTCTCACATCTGGCAAGACCAAAGTGCTCACAGGTATTTACTAACATCCAGTAGCAACAATTGAAAGATCCCTTGCAGATGCCTGAAACAGTATAAGGACCTAGGCCAGGATGGAATAACAGTTGTGAATTCCATTTCTATAAGGAAAACCAGCTAATGGGATCAGTATATCAATCTCTTCAAGCACCTGAAAAATCTGAGATCATGCCACTAAGTGCTTGTGAGAAATATAAATGCGTTGTAAACTGTCCCATATATTTCCACTTTTTCTCCTCAACTTTCCTATTTATAATTAACACCTCTCTTTATCTTGTTCATCCTGAATATCTTTGTTCTTTTCAAGTTAAATTATTTAATACTATCTCTTCTTCTCATTTAAGCTCCCTTTATCTCATGATCCCCTCTCCTTTATATTGAAATCTCTCCTGTCTAAATGCATAATCAGATGACATCTGCTACTACGAAACTTAAAAATCCCAGCACATTCCCTAAAATAATTTAACTGTGTAGTTATTAGGCAGCAAGGTATGTTGCGCAGATAAGAAGCTGGGTACGCAAAAGAAATAGGCTCCATACGGCACAAAGGGGAGCTGATGTCTTGGCATCAGTTACAAACCACATAAGAGTGATTGCTCATTACATGAAGCCCAGAAACACCTAGTCCAGTTCTGCATCTTTGCAGACATGAAACCCAGTCATTTATCACATGAATAGTCCTGTTGATGTCAACAGATGACCTGTGAGCAATGAAGATTTGGTGTCACATAGCTATGCATGCCATAGAAGCTTTTGTATTATGCAGAAGGAAGCACAAAGGCCTTTAGAGGCAGGAAAGCGTCTGGAAGCCCCGTGATATGTTTGCAGTTGAAAAAAGATGAAAATTTGGTCATGTGAAATCAGAAGTTAAATTCTCATTCCTGTACTGTCTAAGCCACAGCTAAATATGTTACAAAATGGTGATGTAATGGAGATGTATGTATGTATGTATGTGGCAGACCATTCTGGGATCTGGTTGAGTCCCAGTGGTTAATTAGGATATGTATATTATCCGTATGGAAACCTGATAAGGAAAGTGAAATGTTGCAGGATATACTTTCAGATGACAGACACTGAATTGTCCCTCTCTAATACTGACCAAATGCCTCAATGTGGATGACAAGTTGCCTTGTAGCAAAAGAGATGCTGTCTTGCAAACAGATTTGGGACATGTGAGAGTCCTGCCAATATACAATATACTTGCAATGTTTTCTTCCTTCCTCCTGTGTGATAGGGCAGGGCTTACAAAGTGCTCTCTTATTTAAAAGCAGAAACAATTTCATTTCTTTCACTTGAGACTTACACATTTATCATAATTGAAGAACAGCTTTTAAACAAAATCAGCTAAAACATCTGGTGGTTTAGGTCTTTTGATGCACATCTTAAAATACCTGTGTGCAATCTTCAAGAAGATGAGAGCTACATGAATCCATGTCTTTTGTAACTCAGTTGGCAAAAGAAATTTGTTACAAACTTCAGATCTCTTGGAAACAAATTTCCAGGCAAAACATCCACTCAAAGCAACAGAGCCTTATTAAAGCTTCTTTTTCTTTAGTGAGTAGAAATAAAGCTTACTTCTTCTGCCATATCTGATGACCACTGTGGTTTTCTTCTATTTCTTACAATTTTTTCTTTAACTGTTCTAAATCTAATACATGGTGAGATTGTCTCTCTAGAGAAGAGACAGGCTTCGGGCAGCGCACAAGGGATGATCCTTTGGAGGTGAAAATTAGAAGAATCTTCCAGAGTCTTGGACTGAACCTGAGGCTTCCAACTTCAGCCAATCAAATCTGCTGTGAGCAAGCATCTGACACTTGTTAGCAAAATGAACATGGAATTAACTTGGGTGGCAGGCAAGATTAGAAGTTCATAATTAGTATCCACCTGCAAAAAGTGAGGGGCAGAAATAGCACTATGTAAAAACAATGATGCAAAACCAGGGAGAGGCTGCTGTCTTAACTGCAGCATTGAATTTTATTGCCAGACTGAGAAACCTCCATACCCACTCCTTCTCTGCATCCATCTACAGCTTCTGCAGCTACTGACATTGCAGCAACTTCATTCACTATGAAATTTGGCTGCTTCTAACTTCTGATTGCTTAACTTTCAGCCTCGATAGATCTACTTTCTGTTAGTAAAGCTTTCCTGAATTGTACTGATGCTGTTTATGCCTTTCAGCCCTGCTGGTGCAGAGTGAGGCAATGAATCAGCTGGGCTGGAACCCTGTTAGGAGCTTGAGTGTTGCATATGCATCCACGGCAAAATGACCTGGGAAACACTGGACATCTGCCTAGTCTCCTGCTGTATTCAGGTCAGAGGGCGTTCTTGCTAGTGTGCTTTCAGAGCCATGTGTGAAAAGATGTAAGCACTCTGATCTATGAACTGTGCCATGTCCTAGAACTAAGGCCATCTCACCTGCGAATGAGTATCCACACAAATATTTCATATAGTTTAGATGACAAACATTGACTTTCCAACTTTAGCTGAATCACCCTGTCCTTCCTGCGCAGTAATCAAATCCTTCTATACACTTTATAATCACAGCTTTATAACAGCTATTATGCATTTATTTTCTCCCAAATCTGTCAACCTGTAGCAGTTGCACATGTAAATGCAGTGAAGTTTTGCAATCTGGCACTTGTATCTAAGAAGGGAGCAAGGATCAACATGCACTCCAGTAAACTGTAGTGAAGCAGTGAAATCTGTTATCTTAAATGCACATTTTGGATCCCCTTGTGGGTGCAGGAAGGCATGTTCAGTCCTTATTAAAAAAAAAAAAATCAGCTATGACCTACACGTTTAGATAAATGAACCTCACAGGACACAAAACATCATATGCCTCCTGAAGTAGCTGAGCTCACAAATGAGTTTTGAGCTATAAACATTTATTTACTGGGTAGCAGAGATCAGGGCTGTTCTTGGAAGCCTGAATGTATCTTCAACAGAGGCTGCGAAGTATAAACTTACTTACGTGTCTGCAAAGCATGCAGCAGATCTGCTGGGTGTTCTAAGCCTGCCGGACCAAGGCAGCCGTAGCAGTACTGAGTTTCACGTGTTTTGAACGTTTTGTTTCATGCTTTATCATTTTCTTGTTAATGTGATTTAGAGCGAGGGGATTGCGACCGCGCAGGGGCTGGGCTAACGAATCCATCAGGTAAGCAGCGACAAGACGGGAACAGAAGGAACGCGCGGTCGAGCACCACAGCGAGGGTTTACGATACTTTTTTTTAAAATGGAAATGTATTTAATACTGAAACAAGCCCACGGCCTCCGCACAGGGGATCGTCTCCCGTTTGGAAGCCGGCTCGCTCAGCAGGTATCCGCGCACGACGGCGTGGGGCAGACCGCAGGAGCCGACCGGTACCGGCAAGTCGCGATAGGCGCTTTTCCTCTGGGCAAGGCAGATGCTTTCGGGTCTGCTCAGCCCGGGCGGGCAGGCGCCTTCCTACTGCAAGACCAGGGTGAGCAGAGGAGTGATGAGGCAACAGCCGGTCAGTCGCTCGGTAACGGGACACGGGGGCTCGCGCACCGGCGACACGTCTGTGACCGAACGGTCGCCACCGGTGCGGAGCAAATCGCTTCGCAGTTAGGGCTGCGGGGTATTAACCGACAGCGTTTCCACTGCCGGCAGCCTCAGCCCGCTCAGTGACCCGCGTCCCCTGCACCGGGATGGGGAGTGTCCGCGCTCCGAGGAGCACCACTGCCTCATCCAGCCGGGCCACGCGCACCCAACGGCTGCAACAGCCAGCTCGCGCCCGCCCTTCCGCGCGTCAAACGCGAGGCGTCACGCAGACGTTGTAATGTACCAAAACAGCGCGCACTCATCCGCCCTCACTCCCGCACGCTGCCCCACCGTGCCAGCCGAGCACTCGCCCCTGCAGGGAGCGCGCCGCCCGCCGGGACCGGCTCTGAGGGCCGCCCTCACGGCCTGACCGGCAATAGCAGCAACGGAAGCGGCCGGCGGCTTCGCCGTCCCGTCACACCACCCCGCGCCGCCTCGACCTACTGTGACTGTCGGAGTCGCCCCCTCGGTGCCGCGAGGCAGCGTGGGGCGAGCGCAGCCAAAGCCAGAGGGCGAAGAGGCGGGGTGTCGGCGCTGCGGGCAGGCCGTCGGTTGGGGGCTGCGTATCTATTAGGAGGTGCGTGGTAGTGATGGCGGCGGTGGGTGAGACTTTTCCTGTCAGCGGATCCGGCTGGCTCTGCCGGCGGGCGGAGGGGCTGCACCCCGCCCCGGCTCTGCGCCGTGGTGCTCCGGAACGGGTCGTGCTGTGCCGGGCGGCGGGGACCGGCGGGGCGCGCCATGGGGCTGCTGGAGCGCCTGCGGAAGGAGTGGTTCATTCTCGGGATCGTGCTGGTCATCACGGTGGCGCGGCTGGAGCCCGCCGTTGGCGTCAAAGGGGGTGAGTCCAGCCGCTGCCCCGCTGGGGACGGTTTGCCTCGGCAGCTCCGCTCGGCGGGCGATGCAGGGCGCGCCAGCGGGGCCACCGGAGCCGCCGCCCGAGAGCACAGGCGGCGTCGGGGGTCCGGCCGTACTTTGTCAACTCTCGGTGGCCGGCGCTGACCCCCCCCGGCGCACTTCGGTCGTGCGGGTCGGACCTGGCGCTGCCCTGCATGGGCCCCGGTGGGAGAGGCAGGGCGTGGAGCGGGCCGCCCCAGTGCTGGGGGTGCGTGCAGGGGAGGGTCTGTGGGCCTTTCTTGGGGTCCCTGGGCGGGGGTGCTGGCAGTCTCGCTGCCGGGGACGCTGAGACTTGCTCGGGTGCCCTTCTGGCATCGGGGCACCACCGCAGAAAGTTTGGAGCTCGGGTTGTGAGTGGTGCAGGAGGGAGAGCCGCAGGGAGCGGGCCGGGACATAGCCGGGCCCTCCGGTAGTCCCTGTACCACCAGCAGCTCGCCTCTCGGCCGGTCAGTCAGTCAGTGATTCTCAGGTGCTGAAGAAACAGTCTGGGATGTGTTCCTGTATCTTTGCTAGGCACTGCACCAGTTGCTGGAATAGTAGCTTACTCTCTTTGGATTAGTATCAGTGAAACCCGGATAGCAACTTCCTTTTTGCATGTACTCTTGTTAAACTAAGTAGTAACTTCAAGAACTCTGAGATGGGCATGAAGTCATTGCAGTTTGGTGTATGAATGTCTCCTGTGAGCTTCTCGGGAGGTGTAGTTTATGGTATACTGCCTTAAAATCTCAGGTACTGTATTTCAGCCAGATGATTTTTCTTTTTACTTTATAATAACACTCCTGTATTTTAAAGAGCTGTTGTTGTTGTTATTGTTCCCTCTTAATTCATCATGAAAGATGAGTGAAAACAATGAAAATGGTTCAGTGCAAAATGCTGCCAAATGCTCACGGTAAACAAATGAGAAGTAAGATCTGCCCTTTTCTAAGCAGCGAGGACTTGTATGTTTCTTGGAACAAGAGCTGATGAAACATCCAGTGTTGTTTAAAAATAAGCAGTATATCTTTAAGTATAAACGCTGGCAGCATGTGCTGGTTAGTATCTATTGTAACTTCAGTTCCAGATATTTACAATTTTCAAGAGCTAATTTAATTTTATATATATATATAATATATGTATTTCCAACTGGTCTTTGAAGGTTTAAGAAAAGGAATATAGAACATATGAACAGAATTCCTCTAGCAGTTCCATGTTATTGGAGTGGATTAAGAATCTGGCTATTCTTTTATGTGCATAGTTTTTTTTTTTCTTTAATTGTATTTTTTTTTTTTTTTAACAGAGCTGAAGTTTGGGGATAGATGGTTTTTCACTGAGGAGCCAGCCTTTCCCCCTTTTCCCCTTTAGGTTCTGGGAAAGACGAATGTGATTAAAAAATATATGGCTCTGAACACTTGCTGTGGCAGCTAAGGCTCCAGTACTTCATGGAGTTCAGGGTAGGCAAATTTCTGCTGTGCAAGGATCCCTTCTAACATCTGTGTGCTGTATTGCATAGGTGAATAGGACCCACATGGAGCTTCTTGCAGGTTCCATGCTATGTCTTCAGCAGACCTTAAAGACAGCTTAAAATTGATAGTATGAGGTGGCTTGTCCCTTTCTGTTTGATTGTCATGCTAATTGTTAGCAGCAATGTGGGAGATCCTTTTAACTAGGATATGAGATAATTTTCCCTCAACTTACTTCCTGCATGGAAGCACTATGATGGAGCACTTCATTTAATTATCCTGCTGCAAAGAGATGTCAAGCTTTGACATGATATTGTTCCTGGGACAACTTGCTTGAAAAATCTTGTAAGCATTGATTCAAACTCATGAGCACACCTTCCACAAAGTGGTATCTATCCCTTTTCTGAAGCTGTGTGATCTCAGTGGTCTGAGGAAAAAACAATATTTTTGTCTTCTTAAAGCCAGAAGAAAGAAGAGGTGGGGGGTGGGAAATATCAACATATAAAAAAACCCCTTGGTTTGTCATCTTCCAGCTGACAAAACCATGCACTGTAATTTGCAGGGCCTTTCCAATGGTATGGGTGGTCCAGCATCCTTACCAGTGGAACACAAATAACAAAGATTTGTGCTGTTGCCACCTTCAGGTTATAAGCCAAGCCCTTTTTGAGTGTTTTCCTATTTGATGAATGAGCCTATTTAGTTCCTTTGTGAACAGCTTTCCTGACCAGTCTTTCACACAAGAGATGAAGGGGATCTGTTCTGAGCAGAGTTCCCTGTGCTCCATGAAGGTGTGTTTGCTCTAGTCTTAGAGGTTTCTCCTGTGTAAAGGAGTTCAGGCAGTCCAGCAAAAAACATTAAAATAGAAAAACTGAGTCCTGGAAGAACCACTGTTTTAGCCAGACTAACTGACCCACTGCCTTTCTGCCCATTGTGTTTATGCATGTACATATATGCTCTAATCTTCTAAAATATTAGAAAAAGTATATAGTCTGTGTATTACATAGTTTTCTGTATAACTTTACATGTATTTGTATAATTTTTCTGTTTACCTTTGTCCTATCCCCCCCTGGCTATTCAGTTAACATGCCATAATTTTGCAAGTAGCCGTGTGCTTTGTTGCAACTTTAACTGTTGCATCTCTTGGCATATTTTTACCTTATGCTTTGTATAGATTGGTTGGTTGGTTTGGTTGTTTGGAGTTTTTTTTTGTATTTAACACACACCATTTCAGTGTCTCATCAACAGAGCCCTCTCTGGGGGTAGGATTTGGGTTTAAATGACTTCAGATGCAAATTTGATTAGACTCAGTGTACGATCAAATCTCTCTGAGGATCATTTACCTTACTTCAGTGTGACCATCAGTGTATCATTCCTCTGAAAGAGCAGAAAGGATCTCTTCTGGAGTGTCAAGTAAAGGCTTGTTTATCTGCTGCTGCAGTTTTGCTCATGACAACTTACTGTCACTTGTAGAGTTAGGTAATTACTTTGGTCCTAAGTAGACTGCTAACAATGTCTTTCTAATGACTGGTTGAATGCTTGTGGAAAAATGAGTATATACAGTTTGTGCTTGGTGGCCTCTGAAGGCAAAGTGTATTAAGAGAATTCATTTTTATAGGAGTATAAAAAGTATTTTATTTTAATATTCCTGAAAAAAGTATACAAATATATACAAATGTAAGCCTTAAATATAGTGGAACCCATGGAGGTGCAGGCATCTGCCCTTGCTGATCTCACTGCAGCGGTGTGTCTGAAATGTGGTGTTGTAGGAACAAGCCATTTTGCCACAGCCCTGTTGTAAGGGAATAATACAGAATTGTATTGCCCAAGGAAGCTGTTGCAAAGTATGATTGGGTTTCCTCTGTGCAGGCAGCTGGACAGGTGTGTGTGTTGTGGGGGAAGGACTGAGACACAGATATGTGAATGATATTGATAGTCCTGTGGAAGAAGCAGCTAATATTTTTATCTGAGTGTATGGTTTGAGTTGCTGATGCTATAGGGACACTCTGATGACAGAACTGTGAAAAATTCCCTATTTTCACATTTCCACAATTTGCCCGTTAAGTTACAAGTAGCCTGTAATCACGGAAGCCAAATTTGTATGACATCATACCTCACTCTCCACTCACTGGCTTGCTTTTATTGAAAACCAGCATGCTTTCTGTAACCTAATAGAAACCCCATTATTTTTATTAGAGACTTTAATGATGAGACTTTCTCCAGGTATTTTTCTAAGTATTCTCATTTACTTTCATGTAATATATGTGTATCATTATATCTTTGATGGTAGTTCACTTTGTTTTCTATGTCTGTATTTTTTAGGACCCTTGAAACCAGAAATTACCATAACTTACATTGCTGTTTCAGCTATATTCTTTAACAGCGGACTCTCCCTAAAAACTGAGGTACTGTAATTTCTCATTGCTTCATTCTTGTTTTGCTCTAGAAAGATTTGTGTTGCTTTTGATCAGGTTTGAATGTAGTTGGACTATTTAATTATCGTGCTGTTGTTGATGATGCTGGAAAAATGGCTAACAAGAGGAGATAAATACTAGACATTTGTGGACCCCTCTTTGATTTCAGAAAATTATTCACAAAGCAATGACCATGATGAGAAGGAAAGTGTGAATAAATTTCACCCATCCATAGAGAGGGAGGGTTAATTGACTTTGCAGGGCTTTGACTAAATGAAAGTGTTGAGAACAATTCTGAGACTGGGTCTATGCCCTGGATGTGTCCCGAACCCAAATCGTGAGACCCAAGAGAGCACCAGCACCTGCCTTCTGTGATTCGTTCTGCTCTTTGGCTTCCCACTGTTCAGGTGAGATACAGGCCAGAAAACTGGGATAGAAACCAGCATAGGGTAGAACGTTGTAGTGAGCTAAGTAGAGAGGGGCTATGTGAAGTCTCCATGCCTCTGTAGGACAAAAAAAGAAGGTTTGAGCTCTTTGTGCCTCTCTCCTTCATCTCGCCTGCTGCTGCGATCTCTAAATAACACTAGGCTAGTCAATTGACAGGATTGATAACAGGCAAAAACCTGTTGGCTTTAAGTTACCATGTTGGGTAGGCACAGGACAGCAGCTAGTATCAACCCAAAAGGGTTCCTCTGCAGATGCAAGGCCAATACAGGTACAAAGTCTTGGCAGTCTTTTCCTATAGAATTTAGTTGTAGACATTTGGACTTGAAGTGCCTATGCACAGCTGCATATTGCAAACAGTGAGACTTGTTTCAAATTTTGTCATGTTTTTTCAAAGAGAAACAGGGAGTAAGAAGAGATGAAGGGGGGAACTTAGTGATGTGTAAAGGAGGCATGGAGGAAAGAAACCGTGGCTACCTGCCAAGAAGAGATGGAGCAGCCAAAGTTTGAGTGAAACACTGCATGTCTCTCCTAGTCTAGTTTCTTGATTCCTTTTATACTGGTGGCTGTCCTAACAGGTGGTGTCATTCATATGTTGCATGATACTGACGCCTAAAGGAATCGCCATGATTTTGTCAAATGAGCTTCTACGCAAACTGGGAACAGCTGGAACTGTACAAATTGTATGCATTCCACAACAACAACAAAAAAGTATCTATACCTGTATCATGGTTGTAGAGATAAAGTTTCTAAAGGAGGTGGTGTTTGAATTCGCAGCAGCCTTCTGCATGTGTCTGCTGGCAGTTTTGGCCTCTGGTTCTGCTGGGACACAGTGTAAGTGAAGTGAGTAGCTTTAGTGAATTCTGTAGCAGCTATTTCAAGCCTTATGGCCCTGTGGGGAAGCAGGAAGAGCCATGTTATCTATTTGCCTGGGACAGTGATTAATCCTAATGGAAATAGGCTGCAGAGAGGAGCTTGCTTCTACAGAGAAGAGAAACCTGAAACACAAAGCCTGAGTAGTACTGGTGGAGTGGAGTTTTCTGCTTTCAGTGTTAGGAATCTTTGCATGTAGAGAAAAAAGTCAAACTTCTTTCCTTTTTACTTAGTTGTATCCTTGAAGCTTTATATCTATAAAGCAGCTGTGAGTGAGTGTGAAAGCAATAGCATTATCAATGCCAGTGTCCATCTGATTTTTCCAGTTAAGGTGATATGACTTACAAGTTCTTGGGCAATTGTCTTATTTTGAATTTTCATAACTTTTTTTCACCTGTGGTTCTAAAAGCAATATATTGATGCAAACAAAGCTTTTACAGGAGCTGATATTTATGTCTAGGTAGCTGACCTCAGGTTCTTTTGGAAACATTAATTAGGACTCATGCTGTACATCCAGCTTTATGTTCCATCAAGAAGCTTTGCCTTTCTTGAATTTCTGCCATGGAGGCAGAAGATAAAAAGGAAGAAAAACATTTCAGTCATTGTACCTTGTGCTATTACTTTCTAAAATGTATGTCAAAAACTATACTTAAATGCATTAGGAGGCCAGGCCATTATTTCATTAATATATTTTGAGGCATGTTTTAATTGCTTAAAGCACAACCTGAAGTTGGTATTATATATAATTTTAATATATCTTTTTATTAGATTGCAAAGGAAATAGCTTCTGCTTTTGTCTTTATTAGTTCTTGACCTGTGTGCTGGCTGTTTACCTTGGTTAATATGTTAGATTGAAACTAGTGTTTGGTATGCTTTATGAAATAATAAAAAATTGTGCATTAACAGAGGCCTTCTGATAAATATGACAAAACTAGAAATAGCTGATGCTCTTTTAAGATTGCGCTTTAGGTTTTATCTCCTGTGAAAGCTCATGCTCAAAAAAATTTGCTAACATGCATTCAGAAAGCATTTTACAAAATAATTGGCACTGTTCAGGGAGAGTCTGCCTGTGCATGGGCTTGTGACATTTTCAGATCTAGAGGTGGCTGAGGTCCTCTTATACCTGTAGAAAGAGTGAGTCCAGAAATAACAAGAACATTTGATTTCATTTTAATGTAATGCTCTTTTAGTCTTCAGTGTCTGGATAGCCTGCTTTTTTAGAGTGAATACCTCCTGTAGGGCCCCAGAAATTAAATCACATACTAGAGTTATCCATTTCCATGAGGAATTTGGCAAGCCGCTGAAAACACTGTTTGCTCTGTGTGGGTGTTTTCCCAGAGGAGTCCAGCTATGACCATCTAAGCGTGGCTGAATGGCAACACAACTCATGCTGACCAGTGAGAAGCTAGGATGAGCTCTCTAAAGGGTTTGAAATACTGGGAAAGACAAGGTAACCTGTCCTACCTGGCGTGCAGAAACAAAGTCATAACTAGAAGCTTCCAGTAAGTTTTCTGAGACTTCTGCTTTTGAGGTCTGCAGTGACAGATGCCTTTGTAAATAGCTTAAGAGGGTGAAGGCTGTTTGCCTTGGTGTTTGTTTAATGATGACACTGTTTTAGGAATAACTATTCTAACAGGCAATCACTAGAGACGTTCTAAAGACTGGTAATTTGTATCTGCAAAGACCTGTTCCACTAATACAGCATTCCTTCTTGTACTAGCCTTCCTTGCTCCCTGGAAGCTCTAACCAGTCTTGTCCAAGTTTTTATCTTGGATTTTGCTTTTGAAAGTATGACAGCTTTCTTCAAATCATATATTTTTTTAAAGCATTTCCCAGTTGTAAAAAATATTTACTCAAAAGGGCACTTCTGTATGTGTGATGGTGCTTAGATTGGGGGTGCCTTCATAGATTAGGCCACTAAGACATCTGGGGCTGGACATGACTTGGCAGGGAAGAAGGAGGAATTAGCAGCTTTGCTGAAAGAAGTCACTTGCTCTGTTTTTTCTCAATGCCATTATTTACTTTTAATACATACACTTTTATATGCAGGTATTTCCAAGTATCTTGTCTTCCCGCACAGGATGTGTTTCTACTACTAGGTGTTTAATTTTTGCTTTCTTTTTGAGATAAGATGAAATAGTACTACAGTGAAGATACTGGCCTGCTCAAGAACTTTCTGTCTTTAAAAATAATTGTTGTTTCATTCACGTGTTTGAAACAACATTCATTCATTTTTAACCAAGTGCTGAATGTAGTGATACTTTCTTAGTAAAACCTGATCAAGATGTAAGTTTCAACTCTCTGTTTTGTGTAACTTGAAGAATACAAATGAAAGGGTGTGTGGGGTTTTGTGGAAGGTTTTTAACCCTAACCCAAATTTGGGAGATAATTTTATTATCTATTTATTTAGTAATAAAGTAACAAGGACTCAGTGCTGAATTGCTAGTACTTCCAGATGTATAATTACATCTCTGTGCATTTGGATGGTTGAAAATGCAATATTTGATTGTGTTTCATAAAAGTTCTTCTTTCTGGAAGCTGAAAGAGGGTGGCACTTGAAGATTGGCTGCTGCATGAATATACATGGAAATACACTTTTTTATAATCCTTTTTTTTTAAATGCCTTTGGGGTGTCAGCTGGAGAACCCTAGCAAATTAGGTTTTGAATAAAAGTGCCATCAGTTCCTATTGCATTGTTTACTTGAGAAGAGAGCAAGTTATTTTGAGAGGAAAAGGATTTTTTCTTCTCTTACGAGCTTTGAAATGAGCTGAAATGTACAAAGCTTTTTCCCTTGTACTCAAAACTGTGTAAAAGATCCTTGGAGTGCCCAAAAAACAAAAGTGGAGACATGGAACTAACTGAAGACTTTATTGCTAAGAATACTCAATCACCACACAGGAGTGCACTTGCACTGTTGAAAATTAAAATTTTCCTTGTTTTCTCAGTCTCCAGTGGTGTTTTGCATTTTCTTTCTGTGAATTTTATGGCTTAGCTATTGTTAGCTTGTTATGCTCTTGTTATTCTTTCTTTGCTATTCACCATCCACCTATTTTTTTTCTATATATTTCCTATTTGTTGGTACAATAAATAATCAAAATCTGCTACAGATTGCTGTGCTTTTTGTATTTGTTAGTCTTCCCTTAAAAGAAAACCCACCACAAATGATGACCGTAATATATAAACGAGAATCACAGTTTGTGGCTGTCTTTAGACTAGACATGATTTTGAAATCAGGGTGACACTACAATTTTCCCTTCCTCTTGATATCAGCAGTAAATAAACAGGCTGTCAGCATAGTTAACACAGGTTTTGAAGCAGTGGCAAAGTGCTAAGGCCGGCTGCTGGAAAGCTACTGTTATGAGAGCTATACTGTTATTGAAATGGTGGACAATTCTTTTGGAAAAATGCCCAGGAGCTGCCAGAGCTTTTATGTTGTCTGGATGTACTTCATTATTAAAGAAGGGATCAGATGATCCCTAAAAGTGCCTTTTTGACATGCACTCTCTTTGTATTATAAAGATGATCCTAGTTTTAAAAGCACAAATGTGATCCTACTTTGGCTGTTATGACTGCAACTTCCTCTCTTCTTTTTCTCTTGCAGGAGCTGACAAGTGCTTTGATGCATGTGAAACTACATCTTTTTGTCCAGATTTTCACACTTGTGTTCTTCCCAACAGCAATATGGCTCTTTCTTCAGCTATTATCAATCACACCTATAAATGAATGGCTTTTGAAAGGGTATGTTTAAGCATAATGGAGTGAAATATATTTGTATCTGTCTTCTTATAGGACTGCTTATCCTGCAGTAGGTGCTTTAAGACTTGTATTGTGAATGGATTTTGCTGGTTGATTTTGTGCTTCAGCTCTTTGCTGTCAAAAACATGGTACACACACAAGATTATCCTTTCAGGAACTGGTCTCATTTTTGGGAAGTTTGGTCAGTTAATTTCATCTGTGGGGAGCTTTCATTGGATTAGCTTTCTCTTTCATAAAGCACAGTTCAAGTGCTGTGCTGTGTCTCATTTTCTGTATGGAGGAAGGAAAAGGAGTGCTGAAGGAAAAAGAAAGAAAGTAAATTGATGCATAAATAAGTGACGTGTGTGTCACTTACTGGTGTTCAATTCTGGTTTTAGTCTTTATTGAATATCTCTTGCATGTGTCCAGATTGGGATTCAGTATCTGCTCCTAGCTAAATTGTGGGGGAAAGGGTGGGAAAAGAGAGAATGAAATTTCTGTAGGAGGAGAACTTTGAGGGGAGCAGAAGCTGTTACCATGAAAATAATGTGGTTTTGATCTTTGGTGTACTCTGCCAATGCATGCTTCCAAAGCTGTATTGATGGTGCAGTAGTGATAGATGCTATGAAAAAAAAAAAAAAAAGCTTTTTCACAATCAGGGGTCAATATGTGGTACCATGCAGTTACACTGGAATGTTTGAATGCAAAAATCAGTTGTTTTAGAAAGCTACTTAAAGAATCTCCATTGTTTCTTAGTGGTTGGTGAAACATTGCTTGGGGAGACTTCCCTGTCTTAAAAGTTCAATGGTAAAGCTGTTTATGTTCTACAAGGCCTAAACTTAAAAGAACATTTTGTTCCACTTTTAAGAAGCTTCTCCCGGTGTTCCACCACATGTGAAGTGATCCAAATAATACTGGGAAGGTGAAATTGAGATCATAGGATCATTTAAATGTTAGCACTGTTTTGCTTAACCCTATGTCAAGGAGGTAACAAGGTTGCTAAACAATGTCCATTGGCTTTTAGCTATATGTAGTAAGTTGTTCATTAAAGTTAAATTGTTGCAAAGTTTGTCCTGAGATAGATCAAAGGCATGGTTTTCCACAGTGAGCTAAAATTCCCTCCTAATCCATGAGATCTGTTTCTGAAGTGCAAAGTGCAAGAAAGTGTTTGGGTGGTTTTTTGTTCCTTGCAGCACTTCTCATTCCTTCTTTCCTATGACTCTTACACCACTTTGGTTCTTACTATTTAAGGGATAATCTGTGACATGGATGAGTGTATTTGAATATGTTTACATGCACATCTGTAAAACTGCATTTAAAACTACATGTGTATGTATCTTTTTAAAAAATAACCACTTGTATGTGTATCCTAAACGTGGAGCCTAAATCAGCCTCATTTTTCATGAAAGTGTGTCTGTATTTTACCAGTGAGCTAGTGTACTTCCAAATGTTTAAATTTTGCAGGCACTTGTTCCTTGAGTACTGTTTCTGTTTTGGCTGCATTTTATCTTCCAGTGCAGTAATTGCTATATTGAGATTTCATTTAAAGAATGCTCAGATTGAGGAGTTAAATGAAGGTGGGGCTTTTCTGTTGCGTGTGGGGTTTTTAAGTACCTTTTTGATAAATACTGCTGTTCAAGACATGCTCAGAGCAGCAGCCATTTTGTGGCTCTGAAGACATCCATTGCAAAGGGAGCCTTGTGGGAGCTGTACCTTCAGTGCTATGCAGGTGCAGAAAATACTAAGTTCTGTCCTCATTCTAGGATAACACATTTTAAGGCAGGTACTCTTACATTTCTATACGGGTGCCTGAAAGGAGTGAGGAGCGGATGCGAGGAACAGTCTGTGCCTTGGCTGCTCTTGCTAACCAGAAATTCATCCTAATTCCCCACAGCTGTAGCCTTTATTCCCTAGAAACACTGAAGTACCTTGATAAAAAATAGGGAGACAAGACAGGCTTTGGCAAAGTCACTTTCTCTGCATGCATGTTTAGCACAAATTGCAGGAGGAGCTAGTTCACAGTCTTCACAAAGGCCTGGAAAAAAAGGCATATGCTCCCAAGGGTGTCCAGCCTGAGCATCTTCTAAGTTAATTTTTTGTTAGCTAACTAGGTTTTGCATTGACAAAAGGTGCATAAGGCAGGCTATTAATATTTGCACAGATTAGCATATAGCATTTACAGCACAGGTGGTAAGGCACAAGATGCAAAGAGCTGGTGTAAGACATGGGTTTGGTAATTCCATACCTAAAATATAGGACTGTGGACCCTACTACTCAGTTGTCTGTAATGTTTCAGCAGAACAGGTATAATTTATTGCTCTTCAAAAAGTGTTTGGACCCCTGATATTAATGCTTATACCATGCCTGAACCACTGAAATGTTTCAATTTTGTTACCTGTAGTAATCTGTTGGCTATTCGAGGAATTTGTTTCCATACTGGTAGAATTGTGTGTAGTTGATACAAAGCAAGAAAAAAGTTCACAGGTGCATGTTCTGATACACCTGATTAAAAGTATTTCCATTTAGTGTGTACCAAGTTTTTTGTAGATTAATGTTTTCATATGAAGAATACTAAAAACTGTAGTTTGATAGTGATTTTAAGTTGTGGGTTTTTTTTAATTCCAAATGTATTATTTTAAAGTCATGAGGGTTCACAGAGATTGTATTATTAAATCTTTCGCTTATAGTGTGGAAAATCCCTGTCACCTGAGATGAATGCCCTTGCACACATTTCATACCTCTCTGGATAACTTTGAACTTAATCCACCCCTTATTAGTTCAGGTGAGAAGTTCTAGGAGCTGCCTGCCAAGAGACCACGCAGAGTCGCAGTCGATTTAAGGGGTGGACATCAAACTCATCATGTGTTTATCTACTGTATATTTTCATATATATTTGTAAACTTTTTCCTGTATTTCTTTTCAAGATAACCTTATCCTGCTAAGTGCTGACAACTCTCTGCTTTCATAGCTTATTCACTATAAGCTAAAGGTACTATGTAATTCCAAGGTGGTGCTTAGCATGTTGTGATTAGATTTATATATTGCTTGCATCGGTTGCCTCTTTCCTTTTCCACAGTGTCTGTAGCTGACAAACTGAATACCGTCATTGTCATTTACCTGTTTCTTCTGTTCAAGCTTTTTGTATTTTTGCAGCATATCAATTGCATTGTAATGTGCTCCCCATTGTTCCAGCCTGGTTGATTCTATGATTCTATGATTTAGCACTTCTGTTTGCTACACCTTTTTGACACTGCATTTCTTGGGGATGGACTAACACAGTTACAAGTGCAAAGGAGTTCACCACTAGTGATTGACTGTCCTGAACTAGAATATTGTCTTAAACTCCAGTACTTGAAAACACAGATTCCATGCTTTTTGGGGTTTTCTAGACTGTTTTATTCCATGCCTTACTGTTCCTTCTAAGTCAAAACACTTTCTCTCACAAACTCTATATTACTCAGCCCTAAATTTAATTGTAATATACTGTAGCATGTTCTTGTTTCTAAGTACACATTTGATACATCTAATTCTTGTAAAGCCAGTTTTATCAGACTGTCTTTGAAGACAAAGGAAAGCTCACCACTGTTTTTTCTTACTTTGCAACAGCATTTACTATATACATCAATAGTTTTGCTGCACAAACAATGGAAGAAATGACAGATAATAATAGTTTGTATTTTAGGCTTCTAAAATGCAGAAGAAAGCTTTTGATGTTTTGATTAATTGAAGTCAAGTGATTTTACTAGGGAGTGAAAACATGCATCAAAATTAAACATTTGATGGCTTTATAATGTTCAGGAAATAAAAAGCTGAACTGCATTATTTTTTTGCCTTTGCAAGAAAATAGGAACTTACATACTTTTTTTTTTTCCCAAATAGTTGCAGGTATCTCAAAACACACTACAAACTTATTACATCATGACACTTGGTGCAGTTATCTTTGTGACAGATGTATAGATATCTTTGGGATGGTAGATACAGTACTGCAGACAGGGGAAATGGAGTCACAGACAAGTTACGTGTTTGTGTTTTTAAATGGTGACATGACTCTTCACTGTGGTGGTTGGTAAGAGATGGCACAGAAATCCTGCCAGCTGGTGCAGGGCTGTAACTGTAACTCAAATTGTGTTGCACAGGTGATAAGATAATTTTTTTCTACTTGGCTACTTCATATTTTAAGGTTTGAGATTGTCTAGTGTTTGCATTGTGTGAGGAATGTAACAACTGTTTTTTGTTGTTTTCAGCTTGCAGACAGTTGGCTGCATGCCTCCTCCTGTGTCTTCTGCAGTAATTTTAACCAAAGCTGTTGGTGGAAATGAGGTGAGTTTTCATTTTGCTTTTGAATGTGTTTTTTTCTTTTTTTAACAGAAGTTCAAACAAATATTTGTTTATGAGGAGCTTGTCCAAAACACTGACTGCAATGTGATACTATTGTGCTTTGTAAAAATTCTGTAATTAAGGCTTGGGTATTGTGCTGATGTAAAAGGGAAGTAGTGATATGTTGTCTGCTGGCATTGGCCAAACTGAAAGAAACTGAGGTTCCTGAGGTGATAGAAAACATTCTGGTAGAAATTGGTGTTAGGAGATTTCTGTTTGTTGCTGCACTGTAATTCCCAATCCTGTAATGTTTGTATGCTGTGTACTGGTTACCTTGTAGACCAGCAGCTTTGTGGTGAAGACCTGCCTTTGCAGTGATTGCTTGAATGGTGTTTAGTATTAAAAGATCCTAATCAATGAGGTTGTTTCCTTTCCACCTGCTTTCTCAGAACTGCTGAAGGTGGATGAGACCTGGTAGGTGAGGAAGGGAGAGAATAACACTAAAAAAGATTGATTTTAAAGCTAGGTCTATTTAGATGCTGTTCTGGAGGGTTAGAGCCAAATCTGAATTCAGCCATATTGCTCCTGTGTGAGGTTGGGTGAGACACTTCAACTACATTTTTTAAATATGGCCATTAGTTGTGTACTTCTCATTTTATGAGTTCAGGCTCTTGGGACCGATTTAATGTCAGCTTTGAAAACACATGATAGCACTGAAATAGATTGAAGTTGTACTTTGTACTGACAAAGTGCTGTTTAATTGCTCTATCCTCTGAAGAGGACCCAAAGCATCTCAACTGAAGCATCTCTAATTACAGGCAGTCCTGATGCACATTGCTCTCTCCTGGTTTGCTACCTGAAAAGAGTCATAAAATTGTCTGATGGAGGTGCTGTGGAGTATTTAGTATAAAGGAACAATTCAGGTGCATAATAGTAATCAACAGAAAAATGAGATGTTTTCTAGTTACGATTTTAGATGTAGGTGCTGTAAATTATGCAGAGATGCCACACAGTGAACAGTGAGGATGAAATGGAGTACTTACTGAATGAGTGCTCTCTCAGTGTTAGCACTGTCTGTCCTATCCTTAGAACAAGGAAAAGATCATCTGGAAAAAAATATGGTGTGATTGGTTAGTTGAAGGCAATATCATACAGCATTTGTGTGCAGGAGGGAGAGAAATACTATAGTTTCTTGACCATTAGAGTTCACTTTTTTTAATTTTTTATGGTAGTTTTCTTCTGGGGTGGTGAGGGTGTGTGTATTTTATATCAGATGAAAACCAGAAACTTTCTGTCATATGAGGCTTGTGTAAGTAACTGCATAAAACCCTGAGCTTGAACCTCTGATTCTTCCGTACCAAACTGGTGTTGGAGGAATGTAAAAATGCATACCTTGTTAGTGATTTTTAAAGATAGTTGCGGTGAGCAGAGACAGAGTGAATTGAGAATTGGGTCTTGAGAATTGAGAGTCCTCAGTCAAGCTCTAGGAAGATATGCAAGAGAAACAGCCTTTAAACATGCTCAGTGTGTGGCAAATTTATTGCCAAACTTGAGCAAGCTTCCATTGCAAACATACTTTTGGAATTTGATGCTTCTCTGTCGTTCAGACTATTGTTAATTTTTCTTCTGAAGTATGGCAAATTGTATCCCTCAGGCTAGGGAAGAAGACCCCCTCGCATCTGTCCTCATCAAATTTCACCTAGCCATTACTGATAAATTTTTTCTTTCTGACATGAGCAGGACAAATCACTTTTCCCCATTTTTATTTAAATCCATTCTGATCTACAAAGAATTTAAACCTGGGAGTCAACTGGAAATACAAGTGATTGTACTGTGAGAGCATTTGTTCATAATAATGTCTCTTAAATGGCATTTGCCTCATCAAGCATGTATTCCTTACGTAGAGAAATTGATTTGTCTGAGGGTGTATCTATGCTGCGTAATGTAATATGAAGATAAATGAGCTTGCTCAGAAGCAATATAGTGAGGAAGCTCCACATGAACTAATTAGTCTGAGAAGTGTCCTGCTGCTCTAGAGCACAGGCATACCCTCAGTAAGTGCTCTGAAGACCTCTTTGGATTTCTTGAAGCACAGCACATGAGAGCCGTGGTAGTTGTGTGTTATGATGGTATAGAGGGTTTTAGGTTTTCTTTCTCTAAGTAGAAGTGACTGTTAAATGTCAGGTTGGACCTAGGTTATTTTCAAAGAAGTGTCAGGCATGGTAGAAGTAGTATTCACCTGGGCTGAGGAAACAAGGATTCTATTTTTAGCTCTGTCATTAACCTGTTGGGTAAAACAGTGGGATATTTTGTCTCTGGGGTTAGCAGTAATGGATCAGGGCAACTTTGTGAAGAGCTTAAAGATTACTGCTGAAAAACTTTATGTAAGAGCTATATTTTATTGTTCTGGGACAGGGTGATTAAGTATTTAGTCAAATACTTAGAGAGTCTACATTACTAGAAGCTATTTGGATGGGAGATTTTTGCTGCATATCAGTTGGAAAATTTGTTTGTGAGATAACAAAAGGAATACATTTTTTTAATCTTACAAGTATCTGTAGATGTTAACTGATAGATGCCTGAAGGCACAAAATAAAATGCTCTGCTTTTGTTGGCTAATGAAGGTGTGGTCATCAAAGCTGATACAAGAATTCTGATTCAACTGTGTTTGTCATTTTACAAGTTAGTGTGCTGGAGTTGTAAGTGCAAACACAGGTAAGATAAAAATACTTATTATTAAACTGTCAGTGTTTAATAGCAACTGTACAATTTAGCAGTGTTTGTTTTTGATGGTTCAAATGTGTGGTATATGAAAAAAGTGTATCTAAGTTTTGAAGTCCTCTTGATTTGTAAGAGCATAGCAGCCAAACAGTTACTCAAGAGTTGAAATGTAAAATTGTCCAAAGCAAAAATTTGTCTTCCTTCTTCCTATACATTGTTTGATCACCAACCCTGTGATCTATATCACTTTCAAATTTCTAGTCTTGGCATCTGTTAGGTGTGCCTTCCAAACGCTACCAGGTTAGCCATTGGTACTACTTTACAGTATGCCTGGTGGATGAGCCAGGTGGAGGCTGGTTTTGAAGTTTGGGACATTGCAGAGGAAATCAGTCTTTATCAAAATCCTTCAGCAGTAGCCTTCCATTAATAAGGGAAGACAATCAAGCCAGGTAGCGGCTTTTTCTTGCTGTATCCCCTGCATTAGATTGGGGAGAAGCATTATACTTGGAAGCCAAAAGGCTTCCAAGTCTTTCAGTGTTTGAGGGGGAAAACTTACATCTTCGCTTAGCTCTGATGATTGGTGGCTTGTTTTAGGGGACTGGAAAGAGCCTTCTTCACACGTCATAGGAATTATGGGAGGGTGGCAATCTCTGCAGCTTTATAAGAAAGAAATGAAAAACTAGCCAAAGAAATAATAGTACTGAAAACCAGTAGGAGATTTTTATGGGTGAATTGGTTTTGGTTTTTGGTTTTGTTTTTTTTTTTTGCCGCAGTCCGTGGAGCAGAATGGTGTTGGTAGTAGCAGAGTGGAAGAACAAAAGATTCTAGCTGCAAGGAGAATAATGGATTGACCAGCTTACTGCCAGTCCTGCTTTTTACATGAGACTGGAGACAGACTTTTCAAATCTCATTTCCTTACATATTGCCATTAATGGCAGTGGTAGCAGCAGAGGTGTTTAGCTGTTCAAGACAGTATTTCTGTACTGCCTCAGTGTAACTTGTGTACCAGTAGTGATATAGGTACCATGTTTCAAAATAGCCTGATAAGCAGCACTGTAAAATATTTACCTGTAGTTGTTGGAAGAAGGTACAGTAAAAATTAAAACTCCTTTCCAAAGATTCAGACAAGCTAGGAGCTGCTGTTATTCTGTCCAGAGGGGTTTTGGCAGATGAGAGATATAAGCAGTGGGGAGAAAAACCTCTCTGTGCTCTCTGAAAATCTTGTACAGGAAGATGATTTATGTCTTTTCTTCTGGTGGAAGTAGCTGTTCTTGGTGAGATGAGCAGAAATACAACTTGTTTAGTAGGGCTACAAATTCACACCTATTGACTCTGTGACCCATTCTTCAATTCCTCTCCATGGTCTATGTATGTGTGCTTTGTTTTCTCGCCTGTCTTTCAACTCTTGCTTCTTCTTTCTGTTTCTCCCTCTTCATCCTAGTTTTCCATCATTGTTCTTGTGATCTCTTCCTATATGATGTTACTTTCATTAACCCTGCAAACAACTTTCTAAAATAGCTTATTCCTAGCTTTTGTCACAAACACATTTAGTTCATTAACAAAGCCAGTTTCAAGTAGTGAATTTAATTAGAAGCATATGAAGCCCTACGTGAACAAAAAAAGTGTTCATATGTACACTGGCAAAAAAATAAGGAGGAATCGCCATGAGAAATCAGAATCTATTTTGGCGATACTTTTTCAATTAAGCAGTTGTTTCTGTCATCAGTAGCATTTACAAAGTCTCTTGATTCATGAAGATGACAGTCCATGTAGTTAAAAAATCTTGGAATCAAAACCAGGAGGCCTCACTTCTGTTCTTTGCTCTTGTTGAGTGTGAATGGTCAGGATTTTAATGACATTGCAATGTCTGAGAGCATGGAAGGTTTTTATGTCTTTATTTTTTTTTCTCAAAAAGTCTTGTAGTTTTTCATTGAAATTATACATTTCTGCAAGAGAGAGAGAAATAAATATGTCAGCATTTCAAGGTGCTCTAAAGACAAACCGATTAAAAGCTTAGAGATCTCAGACAGAAATGCTGTAGAGACGCCAGATATTACTGTAAAGTATTCAGACAGCAAATGTCATATTCTCCTTAAGAATCAAAGTAATGAAGAGAAGAGGTTGAAAATTAGATCTGTAAGCTTATTATCAGTTTGGGAGCAAAAACAATTTGCGATGACTTTTATGGAAGCTTAATGACATATTTTGAAAAGTGTAACATAACAGGCAAGAGCTGTGATGGAATTGTACAGATAAATCATGGCAGACAGTTCATTTTATTG